GTTGCAAGCTCTTTAACCTCCTCACAATGAAGGCTCTCTTGTCTTGGAGAGTGTTGAAGATTGCTTCTTCGGAAGACTTTTCTTGGTCATCAATACAATTATTTGACCAAAAAGTGTGAAAGCCCCTTTTGCTAAACTAATTAAATAAACGAGAGTGGGTAAATTCTAGTTAAACATAATAAACTCTAGATCCGAGATTGATGAATAGTTGTACCCTAAGAACTATATTTTAAGCATAATATTCGATGAGGTGTTTGATAATGTTGCTATAAACGAATGAGAGGAAGAGGGTAAAACAATAAATGTGACAAATGGCAATAAATGTAAATAGAGAGAATGATTCACCCTAATATTCAATGAGGTGGATGATTCTCTCTCTGACAAGGATATATACTAACCAAACGTGGGAATATCAAGGACTTTGTCAGATCCGATGTGAGAAAGATTGGAATCAACATCCAATCCAATCTTGTCAAAAGATAATGTCTATAACTCTTTGAGAGTTAACTTTTCAAGAGAGAACTTATCAAGATCCCCTCCCCCCCCCCTCTCTCTCTCTCTCTCTCTATCTCTATTTATATGGGGCGTATCCCTTACCTACTAAAAATACAAGTACAGGGAATATTCTACATAATATTCCTAAAAAATATCCGGTTACTAACTATTCGTTTCTGGCCAATTCAAATGCTCGAATCTGGCCTTGGCTGCTCGGCTCGTTAGCGTTGCTTCAGAAGCATGACTTCAGCCTAATCGACTCTCAAGAATGGCCTGTTATGCTTGTCCTTGATCTCGTCCTTAACGAACTCTCCAAAGGTTCGCTCTAGTCGTACTCGGCCGAGCCACCCATGGCAAGTTACGGTCTTCACGATAGTCTTTTTATACTGGACTTCTTAGATCAGATTTTGGACCATATAGTTAGTCCCTCCGCTTGCCGAGGTTGTCCTTCAGGTCGTCCTCGATGAGAGGACTTCGCCCGCCATAGTGTGAGAGATCCGATCTAAATGCCGAGTGACAGTTGTACTAGCCGAGGTAAGGGGCGGCACTTTGAAGATTGTGCTCAATGATGAAGGATCAGAGTGACGTCACCATTTCACGTGTCATGATTGTGCATCTTCCCGGTACGCTGCCTTGTTTCCCGCGTCTCTATTGCTTCGATTCTTGTGCATTTGGCTGTTATTTTTCTCGACTTTTGCGCCGATATTTTCTTATAAAAAGGGGGAAAAACTCTTCATTCAGAACTTTTTACTTTCGGATTTTCAAAAGCGATTCATCTTCTTCTCTTGCTTCTTTCCCTGCTTTCTGCAACTTCTTGTCTTGTTATCATCGCTAATTCTTCGTTTTCAAGCTTCTCACTCACACATAACTACATAAATGGCTAGTGCGTCTTCCAACTCTGAGGAAATTCTTAGCCCGAACCCGGTGTCAATGGCCATGCTAGTTCCT